TCTCTCTCTCTCTCTCTCTCTCTCTCTCCTGTACAACTTATAGCCCTCTATTCCTGCCACCCAGTCATGAGCAAAGTCCCATCAGGTTTCAGTTAGTCCCACTAGGTCAAAGTTATTGCTCGCAAGCAAGAATTCTACATCCTCCTGCTTGTTACCTATGCTCCTGGCATTTGTATATATACACTTAATTCCCCTGGTGGCTGTCCCTGGAACCCCCTTATACTGCTCTGTAGTAGGTTCTTTGATACGTACCTGGGCTGATCTTGTGGGTATCTCATGGTTCAGTGTCCCGTGGATCCCTCCTTCCTCGTCCTCCCCTTTCCCCGATGAACCTAGTTTAAAGCCCGCCAGAGGAGAACATCTGGAGGGTCAGGCTGCCTGCAGGCAGGGAGGAGCTCAGAGATTACATCCCTCCCCATCCCGCTGCTCTGGCCTGGTCTCCCCCAGCCAGCCCTCCTCTCAGCTCCTGCCCACTCACCCCTTTCCCAACAAAGTCCCTTCACTCCCTGCCACACTCCCTGCCAGTGCCCCTTACTCCCAACCCACGGCTGCCAGTCCTCAAATCCCCTCCCTAGAGGTGCCCCCAGCTCCACCTCCGCAGTGCAGGTGATGTTGCCTGCTCTCATTTACCTGCCTCTTGTCCCGCCAGCCCCTCCCAGTCCCCTCAGATCAACCCTACTGCACCTCTCCCTCCTGCTAGGGTATAAGACAGAGGAAGCAGCTTTGAGTCCTCCCAAGGAACCCAGGAGTCCCAGCCCTCCCTGTTGACCCCATTTCTCCTCCCAGGCCCAGGGAAGACCACAGGGGTCCAGGCTTCCAGCTCCAACCCTTTACACTGGGCAGGTGGAGCCCTTGGGATGGGAAGGGCTTGGGAGACTTGGGAGTAGGGGCACACAGGGAATATCTGGGGGTCACAGGCCACCTGTAACAGGTAACTGTTCTGGGCCGAGCTAAATTGTGACCCATGCACCTGTTCCGGAGGCAACCACCCACCTTCTTGCCTGCCATGCCTTGTTGTTAATTAATTAGTTGAGGCTAATTAGCGGGAGGCTGCCATTGTACTGCCCCGTTGCCAGGGGGCGCTATCTGCGGCTCCTATCCTCCCCAATACCGCAGCCCCAGCCTCACAGATGGAATATCTGTTATGTCTCGTCCTTTTTCCTAATCAGGCCCCTCTTTGGGCCTTCTCAAGCGTCGTCGCCCTCTCTCGGGGCCTTCTTAAGTGCTGCCCCCTTCTCTGGGGCCTTCTCTGCACTGCTGCCCTCTCCTTGGGCCTTTGTAAGTGCTGCCCCCTCTCTGGGGCTCGCCACACCCATGCTAGGGCCTCTCAGTAACGCCCCCTCTCTGGGGCTCGCCACGCCCCCACTGGGCTTCTCACTA